TTAAAAAAAAAAAAAGGAATTAATTTTTTTAGACAGAATAATGGTATACATAATCAGGAAAAATGCTTTATTTAAAAAAAAAGAGGCATACTGATGTTTCCAGAAGTCTGACTAAAATGTCACATATTCATAATTGAATATTTAAGAGTGAAAATGATGGTTATATAATAGGCATAAGAGTATTCATTTATTATTCTACTTTCCTTTATGTTTGGAGAATCTCAAAGTTTAAAAAGAGAAAGAATATTCTAGCTTGGAGGTTAAAAGTAATTACAGAAGTAGGAAGTGAAACAAAAAACATCTGCCTTAAAATGAATGATGACTGTTTTAGGCTGTATTTAGTACAAAAACTAATATGTAATTTGCCTGCTTGCTTCAGCATGAGATAATCTGATGTGCTAAATATACTAGAACCCTAACTGGTTTATTACGCTTTATGATGATGATGAGACATAAATGGGGAAAAGAAGTACAAGTAAAGGAGAAAACTCAAAATCTCTGAGTCTTTTAGTGAAGTTTGTAGTAGTAAATCAGAGACTTTTTTATTGTAGGTGATCTGGACTTAACAGAGTCATCATAAAAGTTTAACTTCTGGGTGCCTGGGTGGCTCAGTCGATTAAACATGTGACTTCGGCTCAGGTCATGATCCCAGAGTCCTGGGATCAATCCCCACACAGGCTCCCTGCTCCGTGGGGAGGCTGCTTCTCCCTCTCCCTCTGCCTGCCGCTCCCCCTGCTTGTGAGTACTTTCTCTTTCTCTGTCAAATAAATAAATAAATCTTTTAAAAAAGTTTAACTTCTTACAACCAACTGTAAATCAGAGAAACATTTGATGTTACATATTTTAAAACACATTTCTTACTGAATTACCTGTTTTGGTTGCCCTTCTAAGACTTTAGCTTTTAACCAGGTTTCAACTTCTTCAATTTTCTTTTTATGCACAGCAAGTTCATGCTAAAAATTTCAAGTTTAAGATAAAACATTTTAACTCAAGAATTTTTGGTATAGCAGCACACATTAATCTAAATTAAGCACTTTTAATGAAAAAACTAGCAAACAACATGATACAAGAATTAAAAAGTCTTTGCTATTACACTTCATTTTTTATATTGAAAAATTCCGTTCTTAAAACTGACACCATTGTATGAGAATTTGGGGCAGGTTTGGAATTACATAATTTTTTAAAATCCTGAAATACATTTTGGGAAGGGAATAAACAGAGAGAGATATTACACTTAAGAAAAAAATAAAATTCTATATTGGGATTAAATTAAATCTATGACAAATAACCAATGGTACAATTTCAGAATAACTTGAGAAATGCTGAGTCATGGAACATAAAAAAACTAGGAATTACTGTTTTTTTTGAATCATTCAGAAAAATATTTTATGAGTAATAATCTGAAAATATACATTCCTCTCCTTCTGGAAGTTAAATTATGTGCACCTGTTTGCATCCTTTTTAGTACCTGAGTTTCTGGCTTGTATTTATCCACCCATGGTTCATTTTCAGACAGATACTCTTTTGAATTTTCTAGACCATAAATCTTTTCTGAGGAAGATGGCTCTTCTCTTTTTCTAGCTAGAAATCTGCTACTTTCTAATCTGGAAGGCACATTTTTCCTTCTGTGACTTGAGTTATTCACACCTAATGATGTGGCAGTAATAGAGATGCCTGTAGTCTCTGAAAAATCATCAAATGATGGGTCTACCCAGTCTGTTACCTGAAAAAAAAGAAAGCATGTAAATATTACATTATCTACATCTGTTCCCCATATAAGTAAATTACTCTACAAAAAATATATATATATTCACATATCTGCAACATTTTAAATCAAAACCTCACAAATTAGTTCTTTAAATAAAGCTGGCACTATATGTATGATTTACTTCATAGTAGGTACATATGCATACTTGTCCACTTAACCAGGGTAATGACAAATGCCATATAAAGGAATATAGAATACAAACTTAATTCTTTTTACTAATTATAATCTTCCTAGTACAGAATAGGCTGATTCTTCTTAAGCTCATTTGTAGGTCTGAAACACAAATATTATGTGTCAAAAAAGAAGCAAAACAAAGAAATAAAATCTTATTTTAACCATATATAACCATAAGAGTAAACCTTCTGCCTTGACCAGGTTAATACATTCACAAACTAAGAACCATTGCATATATCCAAATAATCCCTATCAGCTTTAGGACTCTGAGAAGATAGAGCCTAATAATCCTGATGCTACGAATAATTTGTAATTATGACTTGATTTTATTTCTCTTCAGCCCACTAAAGCAAATAGTACTTTCATAAAAGGGAGGCAGGATTTCCAGGGAGGATGATTTGTTTCCCAGATTTGTCTAAGAAAACAGAACTCGGATAATAGAGTAGCAAAGTCAGTGAGTTCTACTTCATGTTCTTCTGGTCTACAGAAACTGCTGATCTCTCCACATTTCCCTTCATCATTACCCTTTCTTTAGAATCCTTTGTAAGGATACACAGAGAAAGATGATGAATTAAGCAGTTTGAACCTAAAAATACTTGGAAGTATTAAAAAGGTTTTTTTAGTAACTAAAATTTTTAAGATGAATTTTCTTAATATTCCTACAGTATAAATCTAGAAAAACCTAGCTTAGTATGTGACTTTTGAATTCCTTGGCTAGCTAGTAAGGTGGAACCAAGATTATATTTTCCTTGAAGAATACTCAGCCATAGTTGTGAACCATTTATTAGACAATGCTAAGGAAAAGCAAGTTGGGGAGTAGAACTATTTCAGGAATGAAAGTCACACTTCACTCCCCCTTTAAAGACAGAAGATAGGAATATTATCAGTGAGTAAAGAAATGAAGACCTATGGAAAAAAATTTCAGTCATAGCCAAATAATTCATTTCCTCTTCTTCAAAAGACTGTCTATAGTACTACAATTTTGGCTCTTTGCTTCTAATTTTAAGAGTTTAGGGGGACCTGGTTGGCTCAGTCCGTTAAGCATCTGCTTTCAGCTCAGGTTGTGATCCCAGGGTCCTGGGATTGAGCCCCACCTCCGGCTCCCTGCTCAGCGGCGAGCCTACTTCTCCCTCTCTCTCTGCTCCTCCCCTCAGCTCCTGCTTGCTCTCTCTCTCTCTTTCTCAAATAAATAAATAAAATATAAAAAAACAAACAAGGGGGGCACCTGGGTGGCTCTCAGTTGAGCTCCAACTCTTGGTTTTGGCTCAGGTTGTGATCTCAGGGTCATGAGATTGAGCCCCGAGTTGGCTCCACGCTCAGCACAGAGCCTGTTTAAGACTCCCTCTCCTTCTGTGCCGCACCCCCCCCCGGCTTGCATAAGCTCTCTCTCTCAAAAAAAAATTTAAAAAAATAAATCTTTTAAAAAAAAGAGAATATGTAAAAATACCATGTTATAGTAAAACTTTTGATAGCAAATCTGATCTTGCCATTCTGATCTGTAAGTTACTTATACATTTTATAGTTTTATTTCTTACATAAATGTGGACTCCTATTTACTGGGAAAAAGAGAAACAGCAAAGTTTAATTTACTTAAGATCAGACAAAAATAAGACCCACCAGTAGGAAAATAACATCCCAGCAAATGAGCATGATACACACTGACCCCCATCCTACTCTACCACTAGCCTTGCTGAGAACTGGCACACGAAAACATATGATTTTTAAGAGGCAGGGCTTGTGGTTAAGCTTTATTTTTATTCATCTGTTTTTTATTTTTATTTATTTATTTTTTAAAGATTTTATTTATTTATTTGAGAGAGAGAGAATGAGAGACAGAGAGCATGAGAGGAAGGAGGGTCAGAGGGAGAAGCAGACTCCCTGCCAAGCAGGGAGCCCGATGCAGGACTCGATCCCGGGACTCCAGGATCATGACCTGAGCTGAAGGCAGTCGCTTAACCAACTGAGCCACCCAGGCGCCCCTATTCATCTGTTTTTTAAAGATTTTATTTATTTATTTATTTGAAAGAGAGAGAGAGAGAGAGAGACAGTGAGGAGAGGGACAGAGTGGGAGGGAGAGAAAGGGAGAGAATCCCAAACAGACACCGCACTGAATGCGGAATCTGCCACAGAGCTCAATCCCATAACCCTGAGATCATGACCTGAGCCAAAACCAAGAGTCAGATGCTCATCAACTGAACCACTGGCGCCCCTTATTGCTACACTTTAACGCTAACTATGACTCATATGCTTCTCTTTCTTCTATTGATCTTTCACTCCAGAGTTTTCAGCCTTTCTTTGTGACTGGAATTGCAAACACCTTTTTAAAAATTAAGGTTGTGCTTTTAGTCATTTCACGACTTATTATTACAATTTTTAGATCACCAATTACAACAGACACTGGACATTGTTACTTTGATGGCAATAACAAGTCATTAAGAACATACACAAAAATTACCATTCTTTTTTGGGCAATTATTACATGGCCATTTTAGTGTATCATACCTTTGTGGAAGATACCTTTGGTCTAAGAAAAGTTTTTGACATTATAAACTTTAATAGTTCCCATCCGTAGTATACAACCTGTAGTACATTAAAGTATAATTCACCTAAGGAAACAAAAGAAAAAAATGTCAAGTTAGGAAAAACTATAAAATAGATGTAATATAAACTGATATAATCCACAGTATGATAAAGGCTCAAGAACTAATGAGATCATATAGTAAACATAAAGAAGTCAAAATGCTAAAATAAAGTTTACTTTTAATCACTATAACTGTGTCAATCCACATGTGGTGGTATAACAGTCTTTCATACGGACTCAAGAACGTATTAGAGAAAACAGAAAAAACACCTATTCGACATTCTGTAAGAAAATCAGACAATTCTATTTGTGCAGCTTTTATGCTGAAAGTTAAAATTTCCCTCATTTTAAATCACAGTTCCAGGGTTTTTTCCCGCAAAATTTCAAAAAAACTCACCATGTAACAAATTCAGACTTTCACTTACTTTGGAAAAAAACTTTAAATCTAACTGTATATTTCTTTGTAACTCTTTTCCTTACTTGAACATATTAGGAAATTTGGGGGCAACCCTCTTTTCCGACTTCAATAACTCTCCAATGTTTACATAAACTAGTGAATTCACCAGTTTGAAGTGAGCTCGAAGCAATGCTTTTTAAGGTCCGCAAACTTGTAAACTGGAAGGTGTATTGGACTTTTAAGGTTTGGATGCACATACGGTATATAACATGCAAAAGCCTCCATACACGAAAAAATAAATTGTACACACACACACACACACAAACTATTCACATTAAATAGATTTTTGCTTTGGAGATTCAAAGAGATACATGGGTGGAAAAAACACTTATTGACTAAATATAGTTGGCAGGTCGAAATAAAAGACGCAGACTTTTTACGGTTAGGACTGCAGTCGCTCTTCAGAAACAAGACTGACAATTACCTCCTTTAAAAAAGAAGATAACTGTCCCGGATGATGTCAGGTTCCTGAAATGAGACGTCAGAGGTAGAAAAGACCTTCAAGAATACTTCTAGCCTACCCACCACCCGCCCTCACACACTGCACTGGGATACTAAGCCCAGACATTCGTCCAAAGTAATGCTACCAATCAGCGCAGAGCCGAGAGGAGCTCGCATGTCCCGACTCCAGGCCAGAATTTTGCACCCCCACCCTCTATCCCCAAATGGGATGGGCAGGTCGGGAGGAGGAGCGAAGAGAGCTCGGGGAGGCGTTAAGGCAGAGATGGGTTCACGTCTCTAGAACATACACAGACCAAAGCCGCAGCCGCGGCGGCCTTACTTTCCGGGAGCTTCATCCCCTCGTGGGCGGAGAAAAGCGAAGGAGCCAGGCTCTGCTCCAGCAGAAAGGCAACCACCCGGCCCTACCCGGGCTCAGCGCCGAGCCTCTCGGAGGTCCCGCCTCCCGGGGACTTTCTAGGCCGGTCGGCGCTTCGGCGACACCGGCAGAAGGGCGGCCGCCAACGGCGCCAGTGGCTTAGGTATCTACCGCATTGCCTGACCCGAAGCGCGGACCCGACCTGTGCCCCTGCCTTGGACTCTTGCGCTGCAAGCGTGCTATAGAAGGCCAGGTAACCACTGTTCAGTGACTAGGCGGTGGAGACGGCCCGCGAGCGCCGCACAAGGCCTCCAAGCCCCCGGGGCCACTGGCGCTTGCCGCAGCTCGCCGCTTCCGGCTCCTCCCTGTTGTGCGTAAAGCGCGTGGGCCTGGACGCCCGGAGCCAGCGCGGTGAGGACCATGTTGCTTCCGAACATCCTGCTCACCGGTCAGGCGCGCGGCGGGGAGGCGCTGGGCGGCGGGATAGTCCGAGGGCGCGGAGTGCCGTGGGGCGTCGGGCGCCTGAAGGGGTGCCGTACGGTGTTCTGTTTCGAGGCTAGTGGAGGGCCGCGCGGCGTGGCAGTTGTCGGGGCCTCGAGACCGGTTCCTCCGACCGTTGCGGGAGGCGGGGTAGGGGGCGGGGAATGTTGGTTTTGTTGCCCCGAGGCCGCTCGGGGAGAGAGGGAGAACTGTTCAGGTCCCCTTTCTGGCAAACTGCCGAATCTTTCGGAATCTGGTTTTTGTTTGTAAAATTCTGTTAATTTCTTATTTAGCAGGGTTGTCTGTAGAATTTTAGCGAGATAATGTAATTTACTATCTGACCCTTAGTAGGTCTTTTAATGCTGGACGCCTTGTCCTTAGGCCTTCATGGGCTGTATTTCATTTTCCTTTGTATCTGACAATCACATTTGGGTAAAAGGGTTCGAATATTTATAAGGTAGGGTAATTAACTTGCCGTGTACGTTTGTTGAATTAGCATCAGAAGCTTTTTTACTGTAAAATTCCCGGGGTGATAGCCGTCTTTCATAGTGGTTAAATTTTTTCCATAAGTAATTTCTTAATTTTTTTTAAAGATTCTATTTATTTATTTGACAGAGAGAGAGGGAACATAAGCGCAAGGAGTGGGAGAGGGAGAAGCAGGCTCCCCGCTGAGCAGGGAGCCCGATGTGGGTCTCGATCCCAGGATCCTGGGATCATGACCTGAGCCGAAGGCAGACTTTTAACGACTGAGCCACCCAGGCGCCCCAGTAATTTCTTAACTTTTTAAAAATTAAAGCAAACAAATGATGGTAATTTGAGATGGCTAGTGTTACTCTGGGAGTATCTGTTATGGTGGCAGGCAGTCTGCGAATTGGTATCAGAATCCCCCAAGCCCCACTCCTGACAGATCAAATACACTTGGTGAGATTCTGTTATGCAACAGGCTTTGAGTAGTTTTTGATTAGGTTATAGTGTATATTAATTCACAGAAAATTGCTAATTAGGACATTTTTCATTTCAGTTGTTGAAAACTTTAAAAGGGGTAGATAGGTGGCTAAAGTCTAACAAGTATCTGTGGCTTGTCTTACAGGTACACCAGGGGTTGGAAAAACCACGCTAGGCAAAGAACTTGCATCAAGATCAGGACTGAAATACATTAATGTGGGTGATTTAGCTCGAGAAGGTAAGGGATACACTGGCGTTGGTTTTAAAAAAAGAGAGTAGGTAATGGAATGTTAGTACTATACTTGTGAGAGGGTACAGAAAGCAGAGACAGAGTGCCATTAAGGAATTTATGCTCTGTTGGAAACCGGTAGAAAGAAAACGTAATATGTATGTAGTACTATGTCTTGGTTGTTTTGACCATTCTACCCCATCCTGCCCCACTTTGTTGGCCAGTAGTTCTTCTGAATGGTAATAGTTGGGAAGGCTTCCATGAAGAGATGGGACTTGGGGAGAATGTTTTTGAGATGGGCAAACACATAAAGGTTTGGATGGTACCAAGCATATTTGTGGAGATGGTGAGTATAGATCTCACTGGAAGGACAGATTATTTTGAACTCAGTCAGTAGGACATGACTTGTTCTATGGTTTCTTCTTAGCTTCGTTTGATAGTTCATGCCTGCACACAACTGCACATTATTCTAAAGTGATAAATGTTTTTATTTTACCTTGTGTTCTCCCAGTCTTTTATGACTCCCTTATTTGTGTCTTCATTTTTTTATTCTGTAATGATTTGTACAGGATAGAAATTCAATAAATTTAAAGGGAACTTTTAAGTGTGCCTCTTTAAATTAAGAAAATACAACATTTAACAATTTTAAATGTATTTTCAAAAACTTAACAGTATTTAAAATTTTTGAAGTTCCTGACAGTTGCTACTAAAGTAACTATTTCAGATTTGATCTAATGTACATATTTTTTTCAAATGATCTAAAGTCTGATCAACGGATATCATGGAGTCTGGCAAGATGGCTTCTCCCAAGAGCATGCCGAAAGATGCACAGATGATGGCACAAATCCTGAAGGATATGGGGATTACAGAATATGAGCCAAGAGTTATAAATCAGATGTTGGAGTTTGCCTTCCGATATGTGACCACAATTCTAGATGATGCAAAAATTTATTCAAGCCATGCTAAGAAAGCCACTGTTGATGCAGATGATGTGCGATTGGCCATCCAGTGTCGTGCTGATCAGTCTTTTACCTCTCCTCCCCCAAGAGATTTTTTATTAGATATTGCAAGGCAAAGAAATCAAACTCCTTTGCCATTAATCAAGCCATATTCAGGCCCCAGGTTGCCACCTGATAGATACTGCCTGACTGCTCCAAACTATAGACTTAAGTCTTTACAAAAAAAGGCATCTACTTCTGCGGGAAGAATAACAGTTCCACGGTTAAGTGTTGGTTCAGTTACTAGCAGACCAAGTACTCCCACACTTGGCACACCAACCCCACAAACCATGTCTGTGTCAACTAAAGTAGGGACTCCAATGTCCCTCACAGGGCAAAGGTTTACAGTACAGATGCCCACTTCACAGTCCCCAACTGTAAAAGCATCAATTCCTGCAACATCCGCAGTTCAGAATGTTCTGATTAATCCATCATTAATTGGGTCTAAAAACATTCTTATTACCACTAACATGGTGTCATCACAAAATACTGCCAATGAATCATCAAATGCATTGAAAAGAAAACGAGAAGATGATGATGATGACGATGATGATGACGATGATGACTATGATAATTTGTAATCTAGCCTTGATGCTTGTAACATGTATACTTGGTCTTGAAACCATTGTACTGAGATTAAACATGCATGCTGGGTATTTTCAAGTTATGTTGTAGAAAATTTAAATGGCATTTAATGAGTAAATATGGTTATCCTTTCCGCTTGAGATGTTGGGTTTTCTTTAATAGGATTAGTAATGGTTATTCATCATTCTCTAAGTGTAAAAATAAAAATGTTCATCAATTTGATCATCGGTACTTTGGCAGTAATGTTTTTAGAAGCAGTTTTCTTACGTGTCAACAACAGGAATAACAACTTGAAGTTGTGATCTGTTCATAAACAGTAAAGTGGTACTTCTAGTGTCTTCAGATGTTTATTTTTTTTTCTTTTAAGATTTTATTTGAGAGGGAGCGAAGACAGAGACAGAATGGTGAGGAGGAGCAGAGGAAGAGGGAGAAGCAGACTCCATGCTGAGTGCAGAGCCCGACGTGGGGCTTGATCTCATGACCCTGAGATCATGACCTGAGCTCAGATCAAGAGTCAGATGCTTGACTGACTGAGCCACCCAGGGGCCCCTTCAGATGTTTGGATCACAGTATGATCTCTGGTGTATAAGTCACTCTTAATGGCTCCATTTCTAAGATTGCTGAAGTGTTAACCATGTCTCTTTTTTGGAGAGTCCACTTCATCTGTTTGGATTTCTCTTCTTCAGTCACTCAGCCTCTTCCTTGGCGCTATTTTTCTATCTCTAGTTATATTTAAGGACCCTTGGTGTGTCTCCCAGAATGTCCCCACTTTAAAAATTTTTTTCCATTATCCCTTTTTGCAGCTCACTTTTGCACGTCTTAGCTTTGTCATATTTTTGGTACCATAAGTCAGTATCACGCCCATATTTTTAATCCAGGTCTGGTATTTAAGTATAGTTAATAAAACTTAGGTATTTGCTTGCTGTTTTACATGGCTAGTCAGTCTCCCATTTTATACCTATATAAAATCTGGTTTTCTTCCTTTGCCTGTTGAACTTTACAGTCTCTGACAAGTGATTTCAGAGTCACATAGTTGTCAATTTCAGTCTTCCAGTTTATCTTACCCACTGAATTTAACATTTTTAAACTTAATAAAGTTGCTATATAACCTACTACGAATAGTACTGAGGAACAGTAACACTAGACATTTGGTTCCTTTCATACTTGTACTCGACACTGTTTTAGCCAGTGCATGTACACTTAACTGTGTATAGTCCCAAATGTCCTCTGTGGTTTTTAAAGATTTTATTTATCTATTTGAGAGAGAGTGTGCACGCACAAAGCAGGGGGAGGGGCAGAGGGAGAGGGAGAAGCAGGCTCCCTGCTGAGCAGGGAACTGGATTGGGGGATGGGCCTCAATCCCAGGACCCTGGGCTCATGACCTGAGCCGAAGGCAGATGCTTAACTGATTGAGCCACTCAGGCGCCCCTAGATGAGGTTCTTTATAAGGTTGTTCATAATGTGCTAGATTGGTTTTTTTTCCCCCAGATGCCATTTGAATATATCTAAAAATCTTTTTTTTTAATATCTGAAATTCTTAACTAGAAAATATGCCAAGATAAAATCTTAACTAGAAAATATACTGAGACACCTGTCCTCATTTTTCTCAAATAGTGATATATTTTAAGGGAAACCATGTAAACATCTATAAAGCAGTGGTTCTGAGATAAGTGTGATTTTGTCCTTCAGGGGACATTTGGCAATTTCTGGAGATTTGATAGTCAAGACTGGGGTTGAGGTCAGGGATTCTATTGAATATCCCACAATTCACAGAACAGCCCTCCACTCCTATAAAATCAAGCTCAAAATGTCAGTAGTATTTGAGATTATGAAACCCTGGTATAAAGAAGACAAAAAGCCACCCTGGTTTTAAATAAATGTGTCTAAATGGAGTTTATTGCCATTCTAGTAATCCTGTTGAATGTAAGAGATCATTCGTAGGCCATTTGGAACCAAGGAAGGAAAAATTAGGTGGGGAATTAAGTTTAATAAAATTATTGGGATTCGTAAATATGGTGTGGCTAAGGATGCTTTTCTTACCCTTGTTATTCCCAGTCTCAAGATTCTTCCCCACTTGATATCCTTTCCCATATGCAATCACTTACTTACACTTACCAGCACCCCTAATTTTCCTGCCACAAGTTTATCAGTCTTCAGCCTCTGTTCGTAAACCCCAGGATTCCCATAGGTCTAGACAAAGTATTATATTAACATTGGATCCATTGGAAACTGGTTGTAAAGCACAGCTGAGCCCTCAACACTTCAAATCTTGATCTTTTTCTAACCCAGGAGTTGGCAGGCTGCTGCTGTTTTTTATAGGAACCACACTAGCTGAAGACTAGCCCACAAAGCCTGAAGTATTTACTGTCTGGCCTTTTACAGAAAAAGTTTGCCATCCTGGTTCTAACCTCTTTATCCCGTTTTTTCCCTCCACTGGAAGGCTTTGAAACAAACCTCTATGGGCCCCTCCAGCACTGCTGTCTCCCAGTCTGCATGTGATCCTCTCCCTCGCACCATATACTTCTTTTTTTTTAAAAGATTTTATTTGAGAGAGAGAGCATGGGGAGGAGAGGGACAGAGGGAGAAGCAGACTCCCTGCTGAGCAGGGAACCCGATGCGGGGCTTAATCCTGGGGTCACAGCTGGACAGGTGCTTAACTGAGCCACCCAGGCGCCCCCCCCCCATATACTTCTTTCCCCACGATTTCAATGCAGCTATATTGTAATTTTGCCCCTCCCTTTAGTAATCTCATCCACTCTGGACCAGTCACTCCCTTTTAAAAGAGCCTAACTCCAAGACACCTACGAAAGGTAGCCACCTTGGTAGTTCCCAGACCTCTCCAAACTAATAGACTTAAAAAGCACATGCTCTAAGGGCGCCTGGGTGGCTCAGTTGGTTAAGCGACTGCCTTCGGCTCAGGTCATGATCCTGGAGTCCCTGGATTGAGTACCGCATTGGGCTCCCTGCTCGGCAGGGAGTCTGCTTCTCCCTCTGACCCTCCCCCATCTCATGTGCTCTCTCTCTCTCATTCTCTCAAATAAATTTAAAAAAATCTTAAAAAAAAAAAAAGCACATGCTCTGAAGTCCTACCTGAACTTGCCCACTCGTGATTCCTGTTCCCCACGCATAGAGACACAATTCAAACACTACACAGATGCATTTGCCCTGTAAATCTTGATGGTTTGCCTAAATATGATCCTCATCCCATTTTAAAGCCCATTTCTGCTGAATCTCCTACTCTTTAGTATCTTTTCCTTCCCTCTTTATTATTGTCCTTTAAAAAAAAAAAA